TTTATTTGGTACTGGGGATTGAACTCAGGGCCACTCAAACACTGAGACACATTTCTGGCCATATTTAGTATTTTATTTAGAGATAGGGGCCTGCTGATATGCTTAGAGCCTCACTTTTGCTGAGGAACTCAGGATCCTCCTGTCTCAGGCTCTGGAGCTGCTGGGCTTACAGATGTGCACCACCATGCCCAGCAACTTATATTTCTAATAATCTTGGAGAACCTGCTGCAAATATAGAATCTGAAATTATTTTGCTGATAAAGAAACTAGCTTTATCACAGTATCAATATCGGTGTCAATATTGGTGTCATATTTATGTGCTTTAATGTTTTTTCTATGTGTTTAAAATATAAATGTAATGATTTGTACATGTTCAAAACACTAGAAAATCTAGGGATAACAGGAACATATCTCAACAATGTAAAAGCTATGCTAAGTCCCAGACCAACATCATTCTAAATGAAAAAAAAAATAATTGAAAGCATTCCCTCTAAAAACTGGGACAAGACAGGGATGTCCTCTCTCACCACTACTATTCAATGTAGACCTTGAACCTCTAGCCAGAGCAAGATGAAAGAAATTAAAGGAATGCAGATAGGAAAAGAGGAACTCAAACTATCACTATTTTGCTGTTGACATGATTCTAAGAGGATCTAAAAAACACTACCAGAAAATTTCTAGAATTAATAAATGAATTCAGCAAAGTAGCAGGATATAAAATCATTACCCATAAATCAAATGCACTTCTATACATCATTGATGAACCCTCTGAAAGAGAAATTAGGAAAACTACCCCATTCACAATAGCCTCAAAAAAAATTGGAAATCAATTTAGCAAAAGAGGTTAAAGACCTGTACAAAGAAAACTATAGAATACTAAAGAAAGAAATTGAAGGAAAACTTAGAAGATGGAAAGATCTCTCATGTTCTTGGATAGGAAGAATTAATACAGAACAATAAAAAGTAGTGATAGTATGGGAGGTGTTTCATTAGTATACAGCTTATGGTTGTCATACAATCAGAGGACTTTAGAGAGATAAGGAAGGTCTGAGAAATGGGAGTAAAAGGAATAAAAACTTTAACTGAATTATGCATTTCATATTTAAGTGAAATAGAGTTGTGTTGACCACTTATTACACAAAAGAGGTTTTGTCATGCTGTGAACACAGAGTGAAAACAGAAATATTTAGGTATCTGAAAATAATGAAACTGGAAACTAGAGACCAGAAGGAATAAAATGAGGTCATGCTGTGAGTGTATAGAAAACCAGCTAATTTTCACTAAAATTAAGGTGGAAGACTATAAACTGCAAGAATATAATTCTTTTTAAAGTAATTTTTGGCAGAGTTTTAATAGGCATCTCTTCTATCACATGCGCAGAGGTGGCTTCTGAGTACATCACATTCCTGACAGGACATTTATTTCCATGGTTTGGCTCAGGTTTGTCTGATAAGGAAAAACTTAGGAATGTGTGTAGGTTATCAAGTTTGGAGCCTAACCTTTTATGAAATTAGTGAAGCTATGATCTATAGGATCATTTTGACTTTCATTTGGCTAGCCTGATTAGATTAGGTGAATCAATTTCTTTTTAGTCTTGCTTTTCTGTTCATCTACCTTTTCTTGAACTATAGCTACAAGGCATACATGCAAAAACTACCAACTAGGCGTTAATGCACCACTTCAAAGAGTAAATCAGAAGATGACATGCAAAGATCCCTTCAATTAAATATTTAGCAGTGAGGCTTGCAGTGAAGTTATAGGCAAATAGGTTGAAAGTCTGAGGGAAATTAATGTTGCTGGAAGGCCCATGCTGCCTGAAAGACATACAGGAAGTCAATTTTAGGGAATTCTACTGAAACAAATAGTCATTATATTATTGGTGTAAATCTTTATAATTATAGCTGCCTGGAATCCTTATTATCATTTGGTCACATTAAATGTTCATTGTGGTGTTATAAAAACTTGAAATGACTAAATCTGTTTCAGTGACTTGAAAGGAATTCTATAAACATAGAACTGCATTTTAGCCAGTAGAAAAAGTCTTTTAATACTTAATTTTGCACAAAGCACCTACCTAGCATGGAATAAAGAAAGAGAGCTTGAATTATTTAAGCTAATTTTTTCTAACAGAAAGAAAAGCACACACACTCACAAAAATAACTCTACTGCAGGACCTCCATCTGTCTGAATGGTAAACAGTCACCACCTGGCTTCTGTGTAAGATCATTGCTCCCACAGTAAATGTCACAATTTCCATTTCAAAACCATTTTCAGCTGTCTAATTCTGTAGCCTCAAAATAATAAATCACATGCTATCATGGTCAAAATAAAGCCCCTAGCTTTGTGATAATGATTGGAGAAAAATCCGCCAAGAAACAATCATGGTGGATTGCTTGCTCTCTGCTGCATTGTTTCTATGTGACA